CCCTCCAAAACTCATGTGGAAATTTGATCCCCAATGTGGCAGTGTTGGAAACTGATTGAGTCATGGGGGCAGATCCCTCATGGATGGATTAATGCTTTGCCTGGGGAAGGGGTAGTGAGTGGGTTCTTGCTCTATTAGTTCCCGTGAGAGCTGACTGTTTAAAGGACCCTGGCACCTCCTCTCTCTCTCTCTCCCTCTCGCTTCCTGTCTCGCCATGTGATCTGCTTGTACCCGCCGGCTGCCTGCCACTTTCCACCATGAGTAGAAGCAGCCTGAGGCCCACGCCAGAGGCAGCTGTCCCAGAGTCGTAAGCCAAATAAACCTCTTTTCCTTATAAATTACCCAGTCTCAGGTATTTCTGTTATAGCAACACAAAATGGGCTGGTATAGAAAATTGGTACCGAGGAGTGGGGTGTTGCTAAACAGAGACCTCAAAATGTGGATGCAGCTTTGGAACTGGATAATGGGCAAAGGTTGGAGGAGTGTGGAGGACTTAGAAAAGACAAAAAGATGAGGGAAAGTTTGGAATGTCTTAGAGATTATGTGGTGGTGAGCAGAATGCTGATAGAAATGTGGACAGTAAAGGCCATGTGGATGATGAGGTCTCAGATAGAAATGAGGGACTTATTGGGAATTGGACAAAAGTTAACCCTTGCTACACTATAGCAAGGAATTTGGCTGCATTCTGTTCATGCCCTTGGACTTTGTGGAAGGTGAGACTTAAGAGCTGTGAACCAGAATGCTTGGCAGAAGAAATTTCTAGGCAGCAAAGCATTAAGGAAGCTGCATGGTTACTTTTAATAGCCTGTTCTGAGGTATGGTGACAAAGGCATGATGTAAAGCCAGAATTTAAAAGGGAAGCAGAGTGTAAAGATTTGGAAAATTTGCAGCCTTGCCATGAGGTAGAGAAGCGGAGAGCAGGAGAAAAATGTTTAAGGGTGAAGCAGATAAACTGGTTGCTAAAGACATTATCTTGGTGATGAGGCAGCCAGATGCTAAGAACCAGGACAATGGGAAAAAAGCCCTAAAGGCATCTGAAAAGTCTGGAAGGGTGCCCCATCCATCACAGGCCCTGAGGCCTAGAAGGACTGAGTTGTCCTGGAGGACAGATCTGGGGCACAGCTGCCCTTGGGGAACCTGCTACCTGCATCCCAGCTGCTCTGGCTGGAGCAGCCCCAAGTGTGATTTGTGCAGTAGCTCTGGAAAGTAGAAGCCTGAAACCTTGGTGATGTCCACATCGTGTTAAGTCTGCAGGCCAGCAGGATGTGAGAGCAGTAGAGGTGTGGCAGCCTCTACCAAGAGTCCAAAGGATGTATGGAAAAGCTGGGGGCCCAGGCAGAGACCTGCTGCAGGGGCGGAGCCACCTCAGAGGCCATCTACTAGAACAATGCTGAGCGGGGAAGTGGGGTCGGTGCCCCCACAGAGAGCCCATACCAGGGAATTGTTTAGTAGAGCCAAGGCAGCAGGGCTGCTGCCAGGACCCCAGAACTGCAGGGCTACTAGTAACATGCAACACAGGCCTGGAAAAGCCACAGGTAGCAGTGCAGCCCACTGGGCTGTGCCAGGCAGAGCTGTGGGAATAAGGCTGCCTGATGCTTTGGGGGCCGAGATGCCCAACTGTGCCCAGGATGCAGGACTTGGAGTCAAAGATTATTTTGGAGCTTTAAGACTTAATGTCTGCCCTGCTGGGTTTCAGACTTGTTTGGAGCCTGTTTCTCCTTTCCTTTGGCCTATTCCTCCCTTTTGAAATTGGAATGTGTACCCAATGTCTGTTCCACCATTGTATCTTGGAAGCAGATAAATTTGGTTTTGTTTTTACAGGTTCACAGCTGGAAGGACTTCTCAGATGAGACTTTGGACTTTGAAGTTGGTGCTGGAACAAGCTAAGACTTTTGGGACTGTTCAGTTGGAATGATTGTATTTTGTGTGTGAGAGGGACATGAGTTTTGGGGTGTCAAGGGTGGAATGATGGAGTTTGGATGTGTTGTTCCCTCCAAAACCCATGTGGAAATTTGATCCCCAATGTGGCAGTGTTGGAAACTGATTGAGTCGTGGGGGTGGATCCCTCATGAATGGATTAATGCTCTCCCTAGGTGGGGGGATTAATGAGTGAGTTCTTGCTCTATTAATTCCCACGAGAGGGCTGACCCCGTGGCGCACTTGGGAGAGTGCAGCGGTGGGAGCGCAGTGTGGATGACACCAAGCCAAGGGTTGCGATCCCCTTACCGGTCAAAAAAAAAAAAAAAAATTCCCACGAGAGCTGGTTGTTTAAAAGACCCTGGCGGCTCCGCCTCCCCCTCCTCCCCCTCCCCCTTCTCTCTCTCTCTCTCTCTCTCTCTCT